TTAAGTCTGTCCACGGAGACGCTGGCGACGTCCGTTGTCTGGTCGGCGCTGGTGCGGACGACGAAGACGACTTGATGAACGCGCTCATTTTCATCTACAGTATATTGTATAATAAATGTCCGTAAAAAGTGTCGGAAGAACCTCAGAAGAACACTATTATTACCTTTATTGCTATAACTATACGCCTATATAATTCTACTGTACGTGTGTTGTGACTGAACTCCTCCTAAACGGTTGGACCGATTTGAATGAATTTTTTTGGATGCGTTTGGGTGACGCCCCGGATAATTTAGATTCACAAATCGTCCCCCTAGGTACAATCAGGGGATGTGCTCAAACGGGGATTTAGATATTTACGGTGGAAATTTTAGTTTATAAATGGTCGCCATGCGTTTTAAAGCTATTATAACAATAATAATTATTGGTTGCCTTGAAATCTGCAGTGTATTCATTCAATGCATTTAATTTTTTTGTACTCTGTGTTTTGATATTATATGTATCACAATTACGTAAATATTGAGCGTATTATACTCACATATAAGTTACGTACACAAAACAATGCCACGTCTTCGTGGATGAGGAGGAAATAATGGTCGACAGACTCGGCATTCACAATTAGTCCAGCCGTTTAGGAGGAGTTCAGTGACATGCTTGGTATAACTTTGATACTTTAGAGTTAAATTATAAAGTTACGTACATCACGGGGTCCGTGATCTATCGCAGGTAGATTGCCTACCTGATAATATACTGCTGCGAATCAGAATTTTTATCCCAGGCAACAGAAGAGTTTAGATAAATTTTGAACACCATACACCGAATATTAAATAACGAATTGAACAAAGTTTGAGTCATATAGAGTTGGTACATTTAACGGGAAACGAAGTGCACTGGATCAGCTAGTCTAATATAATATTATTATTCAGAGTGTCTCAAAACATGCGTGATTTATAGGACTATAGGAACTTTACTGTAAAGACCTATAAATAAGTACCTATACTTATACTTTATTTTTAAAATTTTACTCCCACCCAGATCCCTTGATATACACAACCACATTACCGAACAACCAATTTACAATTTTTAATTATCTACCTCCTTGTTAAACAATCCATAATCACCCATAAAAATTCTATCTACTTATTTAGCCGTATCTGCTTAAGCATAATATTATGGTCATATCTAGAAACTTTTTTCTTCGGTGTATCTAGTATCTTTTAAAATATTTATGCGTTGAGATACAAAATGCAAATAATTAGATACATTATTTGTGCCTTTTTTTATGATTTAATTTTTAGAAAAATTTAAATTTAAAAGAAAAAAAATTAAAAATTAAAATTTTTATCGTATCTAAAATCTGTAACATAATAATATGCACAATAAGCAAATTTTTTGACGGTACCTACCAATATTTTTTATTTTTTTCAAATTAGGAACATGAGGGGAAAGACGTGGTCTAGACGTCTATTAACAGAATTTCAACGAAGTCAATTTAAATGTTGATATTAAAAAAGTCCCTAGAATCTACATAAGTGTTTTTTAGACGATAGAAGTGTGCCCTTTTTCAACTTGATAGGAATATTAATTTAATAAAATAAGTTTTCATCCCATGTTACTTGTATAGCTGATTGACGGAATCACAAACTAAACAGTATATTCAATTTAAAACCACCTGCTCTTTGCCGTACTATGTTCCTTAGAAAAAATTATTTTTGAATTTGTAACAAAAAAACAATAAAAACAATATTATTATTGAGCGGTAAACGCAGAGAACGTTGTGTGTGTGTGTATCGCCATATTGCCGTTTATAGTTTACCTAGGTAATTGTTTTCATTACCTACATTTCTGAGTTTCTGACAAGGATATTATTATCAGTTGTCTATCGTATATGTTGTAGTATTACAAGTATATATGGTGTAATATTCAAGGCTGGGCATTAACGAGTTAGTAAGTTAAAGTTAAGTTAAAAAGTTAATTTTATTTTAACTTTTTAACTTAACTAGTTACTTTTGGCTTTTCATTAAATTAACTGTTAACTTACAAAGTTTCTTTTTAATTAACCTGAAATTAACGATTTAATTTTTCATTTTAAGAAGTAAGTTAAGTTAATATTACATATTATGTAAATGATAAATGATTTAATATGGTGATTAATCTAACGTATTGCACTCATTATAAGTAGATCACCCCGCATATAACTAATAAGTGATAATTAGATAGCTATACTTAGTTAAATCAATTATGTTTTATATTTGAGCAACTTTACTTCGAGAATAATTTTTAAAAAAATGTATGCTGTATCTTCTAGCAAAAAGTGACGAATGTATCTCGTACCTTGTATGTTCTAAAGATGCAAATTGATGTAGGTACCTATATGGATATCTGATATATATATATATAATATGTATATATACTTTTTTCTAGTAGGTATCTTGCCCATTCCTAAGCACTGGAAAGTACGTGCAAAATCGATGAAGTTTTTAGTATTATATTATATATTATGTAATTGTATGTGTGTATGTAAGTTGATTATTTCAAATATCTATTTTAAATGATAAATACTAAAATATATATCTTGCAGTTAGCAGCATAAGACTACGTTCGCAATCGTGTGCCGTTCGTTCTATACAGAAATTATTTTAAGAGTGGTTTTATAGTAAATTTGTACAACACACGACATAATATACGTATTTACTTCTATATTATGTCTAGGTATATGTGCAGTATGTAGACGATCAGTACTCACCATAAAGGCATCCTTGATGGCAGTTAAAAGTCCACACTTTTTGCACCACATTGGTCTCTGCTCCTGAAAAATCGGCAAATATATATAAAGTTATATGTGTAGTAACACCACCGTGGTACCATTATCACCTCCATATTATTTGCTGGTTTAAGTTAATTTAATTGATTATTCCAGACAACTATACAATTTAAATTTAAAATAATCAATTATTGTAATTTCATTACAATGATTATTATTTATTATACATTTAAATACTCTATGGATATTAATATTTATGTCGATAACACAGATATGTGTTCGATAATGAACGGTAAATTATTGTATATTACATAGAATCAATATATCATCCCCTCCCTCCTACCCACTCGTACCAGTCGTTTTTGATTGAAGTGTGATCAAAACCGCATTTACAAAAATATTGCAAAGAGCAAAGATAACTATTCATTTATAACAGTATTTACGTACATGCCTTTGATGGTAATAGTGCGTGGTGTGGTGACGATGGTGGTGTACTATGTATTTTGCCATTATTAACTACTGTTCTCTGTTCTATTTTCTTCGTAGTGATTATTAATAATTGATCATAACTAGATAGGTACTCATGGGAAAAAGGACTTAGAGTGATCTAGGAAAGGAACGTACAAATAAGTGCAAACATAAAATAAAATACTTGTATGGTTTCCATAATATACACACTATAATAATTATTATGCACTATAATATAGCTACATGACAATTGACGATAAGGATTTTGTTAAAATATAACACATTTTAACAAAAAATATTTAAAAAAATTAGTCCTTATCATCATTTTGCGTTTTGATTCCCGTCTTATAATGTTATGTACAATAAACTATAACTATATAATATAATAATATTAAAATTGTCTAAGACTACATATTTTGTTATTACCACCGGTCTATTTGTAACACAAAAAATATATTTATATTCAATATTATACACCGGCGCACCGCTACCTATATATAGGTACTAATCTAGATTTCGATGTATATGTGTGGATTACTACAATTACTACTCTACTAACTAACCACTATAATTAATGCCTACAATAAACTAATTCGATTGTAAAAAAAAAACATAATGCGATGATGTTTAAATGTATATGATGTGTGACAATGATAATAATATGGCGTTTTTTCGTATACACACACATACATATTGTACAGTACCTATATATGTGTGTACACAAATTATTTTATATTAGCTACATTAAACTACTTAATTTATAAATATATATATACATATATATTTATATTTATAATAATATAATGTACATATTATACGTGTAATAACTTAACATAATAATAGATAATATTAATATGACGTACGGTTGGACGGAAAATAACAGACGCCGACGACGAAAGACTAGAAATATTATTAGTGACGGTTTCTCAATTTATTTACGAAAACAGTGATTAACTGTAAATACCATGATGTAGGAGCCTCAAGAAGTTTTTCACGAAAATAAATGAAATTGTAAGAAATAAAAATAAAAAATGTACTAGTTAATTGTTTTATCTATTTCACCGTTTGAACAATCACGAATTAATCGATATTATGTTTCCAAATGCAAAAAATTGAATTATTTTTTTACGTATTATAATATATTATGATATTATCGAATATAAAAAAAAAATTGTATTATATTTTTTGTTTTTAAAATTGCATATATACAATGTACTTGTACATGTATGAGCATTTACTATGCATATTATGTGCAATATTAGCAAACCAATAAGTAAACGTACGGTGTTCACTCCCAAAAATATAACCAGCTTCTGTAATTTATAACGGGTTTGAAAACGTTTGTATAATATTTTATGCATCAGTCTTACATAATATGACCAGAGAGAAAGATTAAGAGTGCTCGTTGGTGAGTGGAACGAGCGTGACGATGATATTTTTAGTATCGAATTTATCATCGTTGTCGCCGTCCGTAGTTGACCTATCCGTACATTAATTTATAATGTTATAACACATATTATATATATATATATACACGTTCATCTTCGTGTAAACGATGATTATTACGACGTAGACGTCGGATGACGCGTATTGGTCGGTCGGTCGGTTAGACAATATATATATACATACATACATACATACATACATACATACATACATACATACATACAGAGTGAGCTTTAGCTGGTGTTGGTGCTTTATTACTACTTTACTAAGTACTATGTAATGAGTGTACGCCGCTCCCACCGCCGTTACCGCTGCCACTGGTGATTTACAACCACAACCGGCGACGCAGGTCCCGGGGTCGGTCGTTCAACAGCTGTGTATACGTGACATCTTGCTCGTTAGTGTCTGCCGCTGACGCAAATGGTCGACGGAAAAAGCCTCCAATCTGACGCCTTCTTACCGGGGTGCCAGAAGCCGAAGTGGCTCCACTTCCACCAGGTCCGCCGCTGCTGGAACCACTGCTCGATCCTAGGAAACCCAGAAGATCAGAACCACCGCCGGCACCACCGTTGGTACCATCGCCACCGTCACCACCGGCTCCACCCTATAGTGATCAAAAAATTAAATAAATATAGCTCATAACTATATATATCTTGATTATATATTATTTTATGAGTACGTAACTGTACCATAAAACCACTGCAGCACGATATTATTAAAATTTATAAAAGTATTAGGGTACTTTAATTATTTTAACAGAGTTCAGTCACAATAGTAAGTTATGGTAACAAGCAAAACTTCACTATTGAATATCCGTCTCTGTGTACACACGATATATTAGTATTTTACTTGCCACATCCGTTGATGTAGACGATGATGAAGATGCGGAGGCAGACGCAGATGCAGCACCAGCAGAAGATTGTGATAGGATGGTAGCAAACAAATTGGCTAGTATCGGACTTTTCGCTACCGAATTCAGTGAAATGGAAGACTTCACTGCATTTTCAGAGTTTGTGCCTTTTTCCCTGGACCCAGAATCAGACCCCCCACTTGATGAACCAGATAATGGAGCAACTACATTTAAGATGGATCCTGAATCAGATCCTCCACTACCATTTTCTGTTTCTGCTACATCACCACCACTCGATGAACCAGATAACGGCCCGATGAGTTTTAAAATAGATCCAGAATCCGATTCACCATTATTTCCTTCGCCACCACTAGATGAACCAGATAGGGGACCAACTAAATTTAAAATAGATCCGGAATCCGAACCTCCACTACGATTCTCTGTTTCCACGCCACTACCACTATTACCACCACTCGATGACCCAGACAGTGGTCCGATGAGTTTTAAAATAGACCCAGAATCCGATTCACCACTACTCCCTTCGCCACCACTAGATGACCCTGATAATGGAGCAACTAAGTTTAAAACAGATCCTGAATCCGATCCTCCACCCCCATTATCTCCTTCCATACCACTATTTCCACCACTTAGTGACCCAGATAAAGGCCCTATCAAATTCAATACGGAACCAGAATCCGAACCCTTACCTCCTTCACTACCACCACTAAGAGACCCTAGCAATGGCCCGACAAGCTCTACTATAGATCCGGAGTTTGACGACCCGCTGCTGCCACCATCACTATTCTTCTCTTCATCATCACCACTGCCCTCCTGCTCGTTATCACTCCCAGCATCATTATTTCTACCACCACTCGATGTTCTGGAAAGGGGTCCAACCAAATTTAATATAGATCCAGAATCTGAACCTCCACCACCCCCACCACTTGATGAACCTAAAAGGGGACCAGCCAAGTCAAGTATTGTTCCGGAGTCTGAACTTCCTCCTTCTCCTTCACTTCCTCCTCCACCACCACTTAACGTCCCAGAAAGAGGTCCTGCCAATTCAAGTATTGTTCCAGAATCTAACCCTCCAGCACCACCACCTCCATCACTTAATGAACCTAAAAGGGGACCAGCCAAGTCAAGTATTGATCCAGAGTCTGAACTCCCACCTCCTCCCTCACTTCCTCCACTCCCACCGCTTAACGTTCCAGAAAGAGGTCCAGCCAATTCAAGTATTGATCCAGAATCTAATCCTCCAATACCACCGCCCTCACCACTCAATGAACCTAAAAGGGGACCGGCTAATTCAATTATTGACCCAGAATTTGAACTCCCCCCTCCTCCCTCACTACCATCACTTTCATTACTGCTGCTATCGCCTGTTTCGCCTCCTCCGTTTTGTGCTGACACAGTCATCATCACTCCAGTTCCATTTCCATTTGCCACCGTTGAAACCGTAATTTCATTACTATCGTTGTCACCATCCAATGATCCATCTACTTCGTTATCGTAATCGTCAAAATCACTTTTACCATCCATATTTTTCGGTACTGCCCTCTTGTTCCTCGTGGTATATAACGGCGTCTTCAACGAATTTTTAAGACCGCCACTTCTAACGTCGATGTCAATGGAATTGCTATCATCTAAGTAGTAAGTTGAATCGTCCACTAGGGTGTCATCGCTGTCGTCACTTCCTCTAGGTCCCGAGTTTTTCTCTTCCTATACACACATGTGTGATAGGTAATGCACAACAATGTAACACTTTGTTAGTGCAGTTGTATTTATATGTAAATACAAATCTAAAGACTACTAATACGGTGATGTTTGATACTTTTGGTGGTGAACATATATAAAATATCATGCAACGACAACGATACGATAGTGAGACAGGGTATTAGGATTTACTGTGTTGGTAGTTGTGGGATCAATGCTTCAAGTCACTTCTGGCATTGATGGAATATCGTCACTGACGAATTTGCATTACAACACTAATGTCATTTACTATAATGTATTTATGAAGGTACGCCAATTACTTCAAACGCATCGATGACTATATACTTTAGTGTGTCACTGTGGTAGTAACATGTCAAACAGGCACAACTTAAGTTTTGGTATAGACTAAGTACAAAAATTAACAAATACTGCCATTACTAAACATTACTATTATTACTGTAACTGCTATTAATTTATATAATAATACAGTGCTACTGCTGATGTGGTGTAATACGTATTAACTAATTAACTATACTATTTTAAAATGAAAGTACATACCTACAGTGCTGTATATTTTACTTCTAACAATGAAAAAAAAAGTACTTACGCTACTGCTGCCTATCAGTGGCCCAATCAGTGCCAATATGCTACTGGATCCTGAACCACCCGCTCCGGCGCCCTAAAACACATACATTCAAATAAGTATATAATGCTATGCAATTATTTCTTTATTTGCGCGATAATAATATGGATAAAGAAAAGATTATATTATGTATTTATTGGTGAAAAATACTAACTGTATCGTCACTTGCGCCGCCTGTTGATGAATCTCCACCTCCAACACCACCGCCGCCACCAGCTGACGTACCACTGGACCCGCTGCTACTACCCAGCAAACCGGACAACAGACTCAAGACATTAGAACCAGCTGGACCACCGGCGCCTCCATTGCCATTCAAGTTGTCTCCGCCATCTCCACCATTACCCTACCAGTACATGTTTACAAATATTATACTGTGTATAAGTATATATAATTATAATATATTATAATTTTTTTTAAATTTAAAATATTTAAAACCTGCGTTGACCTTAAATTGTTGGTATAAACTATACCTAAAAATTATTTTACACAATCATGCACGCGTAGTAACTAATAAATAATAATATATTATATCTTGTAGAATAGACTAGAACTTACACCACTACCGCTGCTGCTACCCAACAAGGGTCCTAAAAGAGACAGAATACTGGAAAAGCTGCTACCACCAGTGGCTCCGTTTGGACCAGCCAAGTCCGGACCGCTTCCGTCAGTTTTGCTGACGTCTCCTGTGCCGGATGCGGCTCCTGCAGATCCAGCGCTAACGCTCTATATCAAATACGCACATAAAGAAACGGACGTAAATTTAATGGATACACATGTAATGGATGGATGGATGCTTTCAGGTGATGATTGTGGGGGGCAGTATTATTTATTCAACTCACACCACTGCTGCTTCCCACCAACGGGGCGACTAGATTTAGTACGGCTCCACTGCCACTGCTTGCATCGGCCGGTGCCGGAGCTGGAGCTGCTCCTGCATCCAACTGTAACGTAATAATTTAATACTTCTATATTTTAAGCGTATACGCACTAGATAATAGTCAAATCACCCTAAAGTTACAGATGAGGACTTAAATACACATAAATTGTTCATATTTAAAACGTAGGTATGATGATATTTATGTTGGTGGTTATAAATTATAATAGTCATAATTAGACTATAACCAAAATTATTATTATAAGATATTAGTATAATTGGTCAGAGGGGTGGGATAAAACTTGTTTCTCTATGATTTGAAAATTTCACATTACTTATTTTCAAAATTAATATTAGATAGTTTCTGATAGAGATATTATACTCTCTTTTTATTTTTGTCTATGATGACTGATTCAAGACTTACCGTTCCACTGGATGATGATCCAGCCACAGTCCCGCTGCTGCTACCTAATAGCCGGGTGATGACTTCTAAAGCTCTGGTTTCACGGTGTAGTAGCTTCTGCGGTTCACCATTAAAGTTAGCCTATGAACAATTTGAGAAATGTTAGTTAAAATAAACTAACTGCGCTATAAACATACATCAACGTATAATATATAATATTAATTTCTACAGACCCTGGATTAAGATTCAAATTATCTGCTTGAAAATTATGGTTTTTTTTTAAATAATCGTTAACCTCCTCTCGGTTAAAATAAATCTACTAAAAATTATATGGATTGCAAATTAAACTCAGAGTATTGTTACATTGAAAAATAATTTTTGGAATCGCCAAGTAGACCTTCAATCATAAATAATTATTATATTATACTATAAACCTACAATAATCGATGATAAATATCTGATAAATTATACATGTACCTATACTGCATCCATAAATAGTCATAAAGAATGCATATCAGGTATTTAAGTATTTTCATTGAATACATAATTATTTTTAGTGATACATGATCGATAAAATAATATTTCAAAAAAATGTTTGTATAAAATGTCTTTATCTATTACGGAAACTTTGCTTATAGATATTTAAAATGTCTTAACCACCAAGTTATATCAGTAATAAAATTAACTTAATTTGTAATGGATTTCTGGTTGTACTTATTTACTTCATTATTAATGACAATTTTGATTCTCAAACCACGAATGTTGGTTCATTATTTTATTCACTATGGTCTATAACCTTCTAAAGTTTAAAAAACTCATATTATATAGTTTTAATAATATTGTACATTAATAATTTTTTGTGTAGGTAACTATCATAAAAATTAATAAAGCATTTCTGGTTCTGCGTAACATTCCTATTAAAGTTTATAAAAATTTAAATAAAAAAAAATTTATATAATATATATTTAGCACTCGTCTCCAAAATTAAATGTATTTCAATTATTTCAATTAAAACTATTCAAGAATTTACTACCTTTAGATGGTCGTAATTAAAAATTTAAAAACAGTTTGTAGATGTACAATCAAAGATTTCAGAAAAAAAAAGAATTACCTGAATCCCTTAGAAAAATTTGCCTACTTGTACAACTAAGTGCTTAAGACATATTAAATCGTCATAAAAATTAATAAGCTATGCGTACAATGATATAACAGATACACAATAAACGGAAATAACAAACTATACAATTAATTTTATTTCAGACAAATATAATTTGATACTAATGACCATTATTAAATTAAGTAATTTTAAATAATTTTCAAATAAATGTAGTTCCAATTTGTATTTGATGCAATGTATGCAATGTATGATAAATTATAATGTATGTATAGCCTAAATTATTAATACAATTTAATAGAATACCTTATTTTATGTTTATCTGACCATATTCTTTAATCCCATCAAAGAATCAGAGAATTGTCTTAATTAAAATACCATATTTTTAATATTATATTAATTGTTATATTCAAATATGTTTATACCAGCTAACAACCATTTGTATTTAAGAATACTGAATATTTAAACTGATATAACACTGATATATTCTATAGTAAACTGACTTCTGATTAGAATTATTTTATAAACGAGTAGATTTGTTATTTTGCTTTCAAATTTAAAACAATTAGGTCTGGGCAAAAGTGAGCGATGCAAGACGAGTGTCCACTTTCAGTCTCTGTGTGCATTAAATATTTTTTTTATATTATGTATAATGTACACACATTGGGTGGAAATACTTGTTAGTTTGCTAACAAACGGGTTATTACTGTAATCGTTTTTATTGAATTTTAACTAGTTTAAGAACGTGAACCATTATTCAGTTCTTTTATGTATTCACTGCACATTGGTGTTTAACATAATATTTTTAATTAAAAATGCACTGTCAACTTTAGTCGGTAAATTAATTTGAAAATTCCTGGATAACCAATGTGGTTCAAAATCTTAAATTTGTTAGACACCGATTAGTTGTTATTTGCAATCAGCAACACATTATTATGTCGAGTTGTTCTCGTTATGTAATGCAGTATTATATTATAGGTATTATAACTATAAGTTTTCTATTCTACTTTGCAAACTCAGTATTTTTATTTTGTAACACGTTAGTCGTACCTATCTAGTTTATAAATTATTCCATTCAAAACGCAAGTAAAAATGTTTGAACTGCTATAATTTATCACAAGATGAACGTGCCGACAAATATTTTAAATTATACTCGGTACATATCTAATATAATATTATAATTTATAAGGAATACAAATTGCACAGGAGTCTACCGCGTATACCACATATCTAATAATATGTAACCACATGCACAAGGTGTTATACAGACATCCAGTTACCTAGTTATGTTATTATATTATAGTAATATGCCACTATTATATTATATTGCGTGTATGATGCAGGTACACTATAGTATAATATTAAATCTCTCAAACGTTACCCAGGGCCACCCTTAAGTGAGAACCTAGAATTACGATTTTACCATGAAAAAAAAATCGAACGATATTATTAGGAACTCACTATCGACATAATAATTACTACTCGCATTGACAACATTTAAGACAATAATCATACGTAGGTAATAATAATAATAATAATAACGAATTGCGGCGTTCTAATTAAAAACGCAATACTTGTATAATATTATTATCTAGGTACAATTTAATATTTAATTTTTACGCCCTTCTATTTGCTCTCGGGCGACGTCCAACGCGGTCGTATAGCCTACAGCGACGGCGCTGGGCACAATATGTTGTTATAATATTATTATCACCCGAGCGGTGAGCAATAAAAATATATTATAGTCGGCGAAAGCGATATAGTGACGCCGTTTTGGTACATATCGCATAGGGCCGGCCGCGGAGCGAGGAGCTATACGGCGGCGGCGGCGCGAGCGATGACGGTGACGGCGAAGAGCACCGCAACGGTTTGGTGAATGTGGGTCACCACAGATCGGCAGATAGCCGGCAGGCGACCTTGGATCACCGCCGCGCTTACGCACCGGCGGGTCCCCGCCGCGGTCGTCATTGAACCACTTACCGGGAGCGAGCGGTTATAAAATCGCGTCCCGCCGCAGCCACTTCACGTCACCGCCGCTGTGCCGGACGATGACCGCCTCAGCCGCCGCCGAATATTATAATGATTATTATATTATTACTATAAATTATTATTATTATTATTATATCATTGAACGTATGATGGATAATATTATTTTACGCGCGCGCGTCTTGAACATTAAAATTATTATCGCGCGCCCGTGTCATTGTCATCGTATATTATCATATTATCGTTAGGAACCGAATATATTATAATATTACATTATCATCATATTATTCAATTCAGATGTATTATAGGTTTACCCTTTTCTAGAATTACGACGTCCATGAGATTACGGGAATTATAGAATTACGATTACGACGAGATAAAGTATTTACATAAAAGTGAATAATTAATAATGTCTCTCGCTCGAAAGAGACGGTTTTCGAAATAGTTTTAAAAGTGAAAACGATAATGCACCGGCCTCCTACTAGTAGGCACACACAACTATATAGTATGATAATATTCAACTGAAATACAAAATGCCATTCTACATTATTTTATTATTATCTATTATAGGATATCCAGACAAATTTTTCATATCCACGGACGGCTTGGCTTTTCCAAAGCGAGAAAAAAAATAGCAAAATAAAATTCAACAGCATAATAGGTAGGACAGTCGTGCCTATACTAATAATATAGTAATATAATTATATAATAATATAATATCAATCATATGGATCTCGGTTTCGTGGATCCGATGGGTATTTCATGTAGGTAGCTCGTTATTATTAAATTTGGCATGGGTGCTCTCCTCAAAGGGATCTCTCACAGTGAGTATAGGTACATTTTAATATTATTAATACAATATATGGTTATTATCTTCGACCATATTATAAACTTCTACGGTCGAAGGTTATTATCATAATTTTTTTTTTTAGAAGTATATAGTATCACACGTACCATCAATGCAAATATACGTATTATATATACATTGTATATACGACAATGGGATAATTATACACGACCGATTAGCCTTAAATAATAATAACATAGTAATAATAAAAACGATCAACGCCGCTGAATATTGTTATTTTACGGTGATGATATTATGACTATTTACCTGTGCGTTGAAATCTTCTAAGGCAGCCGTCGCTACGACCAGCATAAAGGTCGTTATAGCCACGACGCTGCAGCTCGTGCTGCTGCTGCTGCCGGTGGTCCTCATCGTCGGCGTGTCACCACAATATCGTTAAATGGCAAATGCCAATTGACGCTGTGCGGACAAACAAGAAATCCCAACCCGATCGTTATAATAGTACTTATAGTAGTGATAATAATTTATTTATTATAATTATAATTGTTCTAGCCATGTGGCAATATAATATTATGTCTGCAGCGTGTGCGGTAATTATTATTATTACTGTATTTGTACAGCGCGAGTATGATAAAAACTTATTTTATTTTAAATGTTGACAAAAAAAAAATCCGTGAACACTTACGACGTTATTGCGCGAAGGTGTGGATTTCCACCCTCAGAGCTGCACTGCTGGAGAGGTTTGAGTTTTATTTCGCGTTTCCGGTCTCGCCGAGGTTTAGAAATAAAAACTTAGTTGCTTTACCAGATGATTTACCAATCTTTACGTCTGCCGAAGTCAAGAAGAGTCGAAAAGATAATAATATACTAATAAGGAAAAACGGTCACACTTTATCGCGGGCGATCTATTTATTGGTACGTAAGTCGAGAACAGTCTTCGCTAGATAAATAATATTATTCTAGCTGCTGCCACTGGTGCTCCGGTGCTGCTCTGGTGCTGTTGCTGGCGCTGGCGTCTTCGGTATACTGTTGGCCGACCGCCGGTCCAATCGCTGCCGTCGACCCGGCCAGCGGCTTGCGCGTCGCGTCGAGTGGCTTTCGGGGGGACGCAGCGTCGTTTTTGGGGACGTGTTGGTGGATATCCAGCACACGTACAGCATGCACCGCTCGGTCTTCTGCCCGCGGTCCCCGTCACCGCGAAAGTCGTCCCCGCCACGCACTAATTAAGCCTTCACGTCGTCGTCGTATTATTATTATGGTGGAATATAGTTAAATATTATATTATTATTATTATTATTATTATTATTATACCGCATATAGCGTCTGCCGCCGCTCGCGATTGGGCAACGGCCGGCCGATTACGAGACCGTCGCATCGGCCTCCCGAGAGGTTTATAATATACACATAAGAATTATAGTACCTATGTTATTATATTTGTCAATATGCGCCGCCGACAACCGCTACCTATGACGACGATAATATAATATAATGTCACATACTCGACGATAGATTCAATAACGGTCAAATCGAGTTTTGTACATATTATAATATCATTAATATTATCGTTATTACTATTAGGTATATCATTATTCTATATTAGCACATAATATTATAACCGTGGTTTTCGTGTTTTCTATCTAATAGAGTCCAATATCTGCATTACATGTACAATACAAAAACTACATTTATCATGAGATAGTTCGTAGTTACTAGTTACGACTTTAGGGGTCCTTCAAGGTGAGCATTAATTATCACCATTACTTTTTCTCCTATTTATTAACGATACCTATTACACAGACTCATTAAAATACTCAAAAATATTATTTAATCTATATCAAATCTAATTGATGTTAAAGACTTACAAACTTATAATATTTGTGTAATGCTAACGGCATGTCACTACTAATCATTGATAAATTTGACACTATTACTTAAAAACTTCATAAATTCATAAATTAGTTACCATATTATAAACAACAAATAAATTACAAAAGTTACCTACATCGGTGAACATTTAGGAGTATAGGTTGAACGGCAACCTAAACAATATAAAAAATATAGCTCTATCAAATTAAGGATGACTAAAAACTAAAAAGACAAAAATATTAATGATCCAAAAGATGTATATGTGTCATCTATTACTCTATAATTGGCATGAAATCTAAAATATGGATTTCTTACTGGGCAACTGATAGTAAAAAAACCTTAAAACATATTAGAGTCCATGGACTCCTTAATGCATTAACGTTCAAATTTCAGCAATTTTCTAATACAGTAATACCTACATAATAATATGACACTGTTACTTGTTAGAATGTTAGATACTTATCTATACCTGAACTAAATGTATTATATTAATTACATACACTATTAAATACCTACTATTTTTCCATGTATATTGTATATTGTCCTGAAATATTGGAAAGAATAAATTTTAAAACTACCACAAACCCATCTTTTAATTCCATTTAAATAACATTTCTTATAATTATATTAAATACTCACCAAAAAATATTCTTATGATATCTTATGATATACTTCTTTGATATTGATTTATTTATCTCGGACAACAATGGATTAATGAATTATAATAAGTGCCTACTATTGTATTGATATGTTTGAACCTGTATTTATTAGAGAATAGTATAATATACAATTTATGCTGAATTAATATTGTTATTACTTATTTGTTAATGATGAAATTATGTAGTTGAATATTGTAAAATAAATAAATAAACAATAGTAAATAATTTTAATTGTTAAAGAACTACATTATAAGCATGATCAGGGGCGAATTTACGCATATTATGCGACCTAGGCAAGTGTCTAAACGTACGGAACGTGCCATCAAATCTTTCGGGAACTCCATTTTTTAGTATTAAGTTCTACTTTTTAGTATTTCATATATTATATGAAATATTAATGAAACTGAAATAAAGAATATTTTTAGTTAAAAAATGTTATATTTTATATAGTATTGGTTACATCTTATATAATAATAATCAATATTAGTTATTGGAATAATAATATTGTACCGAAATGTATGCTTTTCAAATATAAAATATATACCTATATAATATATAAATACAATTATTATAACAAAACTATCAACAGTAAACAATATCAACTATAATATAAAGGAGCTAAAACTTAAATTTATGAATACTTTTAATATGACTTGAATATTGTGGTAGTTGATAAACAATAGTACACGTTTTTTAAACATTGCAGTTAAAAAGAGTGGCATCACTCTAAGAAAATAAAACAATTTTCTGAACATATTACTATTCAATGATTTATTGTTAATATTTGTTTAATTATTATTGTTTAGGTACTTCAGTACTTGGTATGTGTACTTCGAATGCACTACATATACATACCTACAATTATTACAAAGTTGTAGTTTTATTTTAATCACTATTAAAATAATTTGTAATTACAATTTGTGTTTTTGATTATGGTTAGGTATGTTCAATTTTTTTTGCTACCTAATGGATTATTTTGTTTGTAGTTTAGCTAGGGTGCAAGTGTTGTAGCCCAGTAGCGGAAATATGGCAAGTCCACCCCTGGGTGTGTTACTATATTTAATATTATATATAAGTATATAACATATTATTTTTAACTGCATTACATTTATTTTTTATTTATTTATTGTGTGATATACGGAAATATATTCCAATATTATAATTATGAGTACGATGTACAAATACATAAGTACATGGATATTTATGTAATATTATATTACATTAGAGTATTTTTATGTTTTTTTATTTCATGTATGTAATATAATGTCGGTTGTATAGTTTAAATGTAATATTATGATAACCTTGTTATATTATAATTATATTGTACATTGGTATGTCCGTAAATTGGATAAAATAAAAATAAAATATAAAATTATTATAATGTGTATCGCAAATCTTTGAGTATAATACCTACACCAATATTATGTACGACTAACGTAAAGATAAATTAGGTATAATATATTATTATTAACGAGTGGTACAGTACTACAGTGACTATATTATGTTTGAGGTACCCATATACCTATACAAATTATTGTAAGGAGTTTTTTTTTCGCAAATTATATTATATATTTTGGCTTTGCGGTGATTGCTTTTGGCGTTTTCGTTGCATTCTCGCAGTGCAGTTATTATATACGTTTTAGTTAGTTCAGCGAAGTAGTACCTATATATGTATAATATTGTATAGGTGGGCGTTAGAGAGAGTGAGAGTGAGTTGAATGCAGTTCTCGTCATGTTGCCGTGTAATAATCTACAGTTGTACCATTATATTATTATTATATTATTATGTACCTTTCGAAGTCCAATAACGAATTGGATAATTTTTTTCCTGACTCCATAGTCACTGCGCTAATATCGATTTGTTCATATTATTATTATTATTATTATCATCAAATTGTTTAACATTGAAAAACGTGAATTCTATCTAATAGGTTTATTACGTAATATGTGTTTTGTGTTTGACCTTATAACTTAGGAATATTATAACTAATTTTCTAGAATTGGCTGAATTATAAAAGCGTTTATATTATAGGTAGGTACTTATGCACATGTAAACTTCAGGTATACCTACCTAAGTTTGAGTACTATATGGAATCGCACAAAGATTAACTTTTGATATGCATATAGATAGAAACGAAAACACAGCATATAATGTAATAATTAATATGTTGAATGCTGTTATATATATAATACAATTCAGGAACCATAGTTGAATAAATAAAAATACTGTTTTATAATTATTATTTATTAATATTAAGAGGATGTCACACCCGCATGTGTTGTCTCCGTCTTACAAAAAACGTACAACATAACAAAAACTGTTTTGAGCGGGACAACTGGACGGAGTTCATGTAAAGAGGGACAAGTCAAAAACAGCTACTTTTCAGGAGATAAAAAAAACATCATACAATGTTATTAAATGCTTTATATTGGAGTCGGTTTTAATATATATATTTATATAAGTTATTAATCATGTCAAGTCGTTTAGTCGTATGATTTTGGAACAATGATAGTTGAATATAATAATTATTATTAATAACAATGTAAACAAACGCTATTTTGGAAAATAATAATTTATAATATGACTTGTCCCCTTCCGCATAACGATGTTTTGACTTGTCCTCTAACGCATTTGGAAATAATTTGATAACAAATGGTCAAATTTCTCTCACCATATTTGTTGTAGAATTAAAAAATGTTCACAACACGTAAAGAACAACTATTTATCAGTGCAACGGCGTGCTTTTTTTTTATAGCACTATTCAATCATTTTTTATAAGCAAATGAAAAAAAAAACAAAATGTTTAGAAGCAAATAACTATTATTGTATTTATGTTATCTTAAATATAGGCACTTTGTTGCATAGATAATTTTCTACACTGTATA